CTCTCTCTCTCTCTCTCTCTCTCTCTCTCTCTCTCTCTCTCTCTCTCTCTCTCTCTCTCTCTCTCTCTCTCTCTCACCCTCAACTTCTACACCCAACGTCTTCTCCCTGATTCACGAAGACGGCCACCAGCTCTCACTGGCTGTCCAAGCCTAAGCCTGGGGTATGGCGCTGCCCTCAGCGGCGCCCTGCTCTCATGCACGGCACGCGCGCACATCCGAGCACCCTGTGCTAGCGCACAGCCTTGGCCGCGAGCACATGCTGAAGCAGCACTGCCTCGTTGCACACTGGTGCCCTAATACCTTGCCTGGTGCCCGAATCAAAAGTGTTGGCGCACGGTTTGCCACTTTCCTGTCGGGGCCGAGTCCCCACTAACTTCAGTCTCGGCCAAAGTGCCCGCGCCCAGGCCCATTCAGACAGTGGCCTGGGACCGAATTGGTCAGGCATGCCCAACCACCTATGCACAAAACTGTGGTGTTCCTTGCTTCGACCACGTTGCTGGAAGAGCCCGGAAGGCTCACAAATATTTTCGATTCTCACGAGCAAAGCGGATGTAACCAACTGGCGCGTGTCAACTGTCTGGCACCCACCAAGATTTGCAAAAATTGACGAGTTCAGGGCACATTGAGATTCAGGGGGCCCACCTTCACTTAGGGTGGGGGCGTGCCTGCTGCAGGGCCTTATGCCCTCTCACATGTGTGGTCGGTGCTTTTTTGCTAGTCAAGCCTTTGTGTTATGCTGTTGGGTTTGTTTAAGTAAGTTTGTGGTTTTGTGGGTCGATGCGGAGGGCTCTCCAAGTTTTTTCGGACCTATGGCAGATGGGGCCGATGCTTTCTAGCTGGTGGAGTCCTTTGTCTTAGGTAAGTTGCCTTTTGCCTCCACCTGTTTATGGATTATGAAATAAATATATGTATATCTGTGTAGCATCGTGTTCGGGTTCGGTCATGTAAAATAATAATACAAACAACTTTTGCCTGGGATGTATGCTCAAATTCGTAATGAAACTCTAGTTAAAAATAAAAAACCTTAATAAAAAATTAAGCTTTTTAATCTTTTTTTTGTTTATCATTAAAAAAAAAATTTGACCGAACAACTTCGGGAGGCGTTCGGCCTAACACTCGACATGTTCGGGCGCTCGGAAAAGCTCGAAACATGTTTTCTGTGCTACACAGATACACAAATGTGTATATGTATATGTGCAAGTGTGCCGCTTTGGTGTCAGATGGGTGTGTGGGCGCTTGGTGCTGAACCACTTAAATGTGGCCAACCTTGCATTTTTCTATTACATTGTCTATCTATACTTTTTCGTTATGGATGGTTTGTTACAATTTGTGGATGAAATGGGAGAGAGAATTTGGCGTGCTTTAACAACACACACTGATGCTACACAGATACACAAATGTGTGCAAGTGTGCCGCTTCGGCGTCAGACGGGTGTGTGGGCACTTGGTGCTGAACCACTTAAACGTGGCCAACCTTGCATTTTTCTATTATATTGTCTATCTATACTTTTTCGTTATGGATGGTTTGTTACGATTTGTGGAGAAATGGGAGAGACAACACACACGGATGCCACACAGATACACATGCATATATGTATATGTGCAAGTGTGCCGCTTTGGCATCAGACGGGTGTGTGGGCACTTGGTGCTGAACCGCTTAAACGTGGCCAACCTTGCGTTTTTCTATTATATTGTCTATCTATACTTATTCGGTATGGATGTTTTTTTTACGATTTGTGGAGGAAATGAGAGAGAGAATTTGGGGTGCTTTAACAACACACACACTGATGCATATGGTCAGTCACGAGGCTCGATGAGTCAAATCGTTGTATGTCAGTCTTCTGCTACATTGTATTGTTGCTGTTTCTTCGAGGTGATGCACCATGCCTGTGTTATGTTACCCGATTGAACTTCAATCCACAACGAATTCACACGTTCCGCAATGAGCCTCAAAGCTCACCACACGATGGAGTGCTCACACCAGCATACATGTCACACAGATTGTCTTGTCACACATTTGCACAAAGAGAAGATGAGTAGTAGACAAGAAAAACGCAGCTCAATTATCTCAACAGACTCAACCAGAATTATCACAACCAGATTCTAGAGAGAGAATCAAGAGTTCAACTGTCCAGTGCTTCACAGGATTACAAGCCTGCTTCGATCATCAAGAGTCTCAGCATCAGCGCTCATCAGCGCTTGTCACCATCCACCATAGCTTACTCTCTCTCCCTCTTTTTCTTGATGGATCCGGTCTTCTCTCTTTACAGTCTTCCTCTTCTCTCACTTGTGTGCACACGCATGAGGATAAACTCTGAATACCACTCACTGCTCTACTACCACTAACTACCGCTATATTGCCTCCTAGTGCTGGCGCAGCTATGGCCGCCTTCTTCTCTGCCAGCGTCTACTTCCTCTCTCTCATCTCGCTCAGCACTGCTCTCTCGCATAGCGCAGCTCCCACACTAGCGCACAAGTGCACACGCACTTCCACACTCTCGTGCAAATGAGCATCTGCCTGAATGGTAGGCTGGCCAGTCCTTTTGTAGTCCTGAAATGCACTTCAACTCGTGCCAGCCTCTGCTTCTTGAGGCCTGACTGGTTCCGGTACCGCATCCTCACGGCCTATCTGCTTGGCCCAGAAACTTCCCTAATATCCATGGGTCTGCTGCTGCTTGGGCCTTTGGGTCATGACTTTTCATTTGTGATCATGACTTTTGACTGTGGACAACTCCAGCCTCTGGGACACGACCCTTACCTGTGGGACTGCCCTCTTACTCGTGGGATGCGACTCTTCAATATGACTTTTCATTCTAAGGCATGACTCTTGCCCCTAAGATGTGACTGTTTACTGGGTTTCTGTTGGACTGGACTCCTGAGGTGCCCGATTGTGACTTTTATGAATTTGACAAGCTCGGTCTCTCTTGACCAGGCCTCTGACCCTGAGATCCGAATTTGGGGTCTGAATCGTGGAAGGCCTTTCAGTTCCCATACACATGCAATTGCAGAGTAGACTCGAAGGAGGCAAATCCACACAAAACCGGAGAGAAGATATGCACAGCGGAAGCTCCAAGTACACAGAGAATTGAGAAGCGAATTTCAATTCTGCAATCCCTCGTCGTCCTCCAATCAATCCAGAGTACTTGTTCCAAGAATCAATTGCGTTTACACCCCCCCCGAACAACCAAAAACAAGTGTTCAACGAAGTATGCAGGAGTCTTCTTCTTCCTCGCCACCTCATACCCCTGGCTATGGCTGCCGTAGCTACAGTAGCCCCACAGCTGTCACAACGTGCCAATCTGAACCGGCAACCCCAATAATAGCTGCGCCAGCTCAGCGCCCGCACAGAAGTGCAGCGCTGGAAGTCCTGATGAAGAACGAGACAACCGATCCAGCACATCGAAGAAGATGAAGTTCCTCGTGAGGAGGAACAGCAGATATGGCTGCCAAGTGGAAAATGGCAGCGCCCAACCCCAACAACACACTCCTGTGGAAGCTCTCATGCAGCACTGTGAAATAGCAGAAGTGCGATCTTCAACTTCGTTTCCCAACCCCAGCTATGGCTGCGGTTCGAGGAAGAAGATGACCTTGCCCAAAATAGAGCAGCAGCACTCCAACGACAGAGGGCCAGAGTTTCCCCAGCCGACGAAAACGTGAAAAGACACAAACCAAGTTTCCTGCCCGCCGCTTCTACCCCCTGCCTAGACCTACGACGAACTCGAAAGGCAACAACCCAATACTCATCTGCATCTAGAAGGAAACAGGGGGAGAAGGGGACCTAGACCTATAACAAGGAAAAAGGAAAAGGCCGAATGGCCTAAGGCTACCATCCAGAGACTACTAGTGACAGACTCAGGGATAAAGTCCCATAGGTTGCAGTACTCGCAAACAAAACACGAGTTACAGGTCACGGGATCAAGTCCCGCAAGGCTCAAAACAAGAAAACAAACTACAAAGCCAAACACTTAGTGTGCAGCCCCACTGGGAAACTGCAATATATTGCACCTATCTGACACTGCCACCTAAGTTGCCTTTTGCCCTCCACCCCTTTATGGATTATGAAGTAAATATATGTATGTATGTATATGTGCAAGTGTACCACTTCGGCGGCAGACGGGTGTGTGGGCACTTGGTATTGATGGTTTGTTATGATTTGTGGAGGGAATGAGAGAGAGAATTTGGTTTTTCCTCAACAACACACACACACGCGCACACACACACACATGCACACACACACACACACACAGAGAGAGAGAGAGAAATAAAAGAGTAGTAGCTAAAAAAGCACCACAAATTCTATGAAAAGTAGAGAAAGTAGAAGTTAATTGTGGCTTATAAATAGTAATATGTGGTGATAATGGTCGATTTATTTCATGTCAATTGACTCTGATTTTGACTCAAGGTGACAGGATTTGAACCTATGACCCTCTGTTTTACGATTCCAGATTGCGCGACACCTTGTTTTTAAAATACCGAGATGAATTGTTCAGTTCTATGAACTTCTATCTAGAGGTATTGCCTGGAGCTGACTACTATATTGGCTGTACATGGTTGTCCTTTTGGCCTTCATTCTTCCTAACCGAACAGTGTTACCTCTTGTGGGGCTCATTTCGTTCAGATGATCCTCTGGCAAAGCGCATACAACCGAAGAGTCCTTCTGAGAAAACAAAGTCTGCCAGCTCGACAGACAGCCGTGGCAGCAATGTCACAGATAAGAGACCTGGTACACCCCGGTCATCGGTTGAGTCCAAGGTGAGATTTGGGAACACAGCACATGGTTTATTCTTTGTTTAGGCTAAGTCAAACACCCTTTACCCACACTCTACACACACCCCTTCCATAGCATATTGACTTTCAGGATCAGCCTTGTGTGTGGCCCACATAAATTATTCCTGGCTACTGTTGAGTCATCAATGCTAGCTTGGCTCTGTGTGGTCCTTGCACGGTTTGAAGTTGCAGTAATCAATGCAAATGTTTGTGAACTGAGGCAGATGTCAATTTTCAGGAGTTTAACTCTGACGAAGGAGGGAAGTCAATGAGACCCAGTGTGGTTTTTGTTGAGTTTTGAGCTTCGACAACTTCTCTATTTGTTTGTTACCTCAATGTTCAACGGCAAGGAGTATGATTTTAGGTGTGGGTTTTGAACTGTGACAGCTTCTCCACTGTTTCCTGAGCTCGATGCTGAGGGTTACACTAAGGTGGTCATCTGGAGTCAGTCATCTGGAGGTAACAGCATGCAAGGAGTGGTGTGAGTTTTGAACTTCGATGGGTTCTCCATTGGTTCGTCACCTAGCTGAGAGTTGCATTCAAGTGGTCATCTGGAGTCATCTGAAAGTAACAGCATGACCATTCCTGAACACTGTTCTGTTTACTTTTCAAATGATTTCACAGCTATCCGACACTCGTTCCCAGTCCCAGTCCCAGTCCCAGTCCCAGTCCCAGAGCTCCAGTCCTAGTCCCAGACTTCCAGTCCCATGTACAATGTTTTGCAGCCCCCTGTACAAATATCCCTACCCAGTAGGTCGAGTCCCGTACAGTCCACAGGAGTAACATAAGTACTGTCGGTTGACAGAGGCAATTTCCGGCAGATCCAGTGTCACATGCCTATGAATGTCTAGGCATGTCACAGATCCCAGTATCATCAGTCTGATTGAAAGCAGAACTCCAGATTGCAAAAATCACACTGAAAGCCAGATAGTGGAAAGCTGTCTAGAAAGAAGAAATGCAGTGATATCACACCGCACGAGAACGAAAGCATCGATCTCAATTGTCACTGAAAGCATACACTTGCCACCACCAACAATGTTTTCAAAGCTCTACCTCCTAAGGGCGCTCAGCACCCAGAGTACTATCCTACAGCTATGCACTAGCTACGAAATGACAAGCAACCCGTTGACGTCAGCAGCAGGAACCGAAGTACATGCAGATGTCAACCATGTAGGCGTCTGCCAAGACCAGGTACATGCCCTCACATCACCTCCTTCATCTCTCCCTCACATGCTCTCCCATGTCTTCTTCCCCCACGTCTCCTCTCTACCTGAAGACCACCACCATCCCCGCTGACATTCGTCCAAGCCAAGCCCGGCTATGGGGGCTGGCTATGGCGCTGCCTTCATGCAGCGCCCTGCGACCGTGCTCGATACCAAGCACTAGCGCAAGCAAGCAGCCACGGGCGATCTATCGGTCCAGCAGCGCTGCCACGTTTACTGCCAAGTACCCGAATACCTCCTTCCCTAGCGGGTTCTTTCCTAAATGGAAAGTGCTCGCCAGCTTTGCTGCCTGACTGGATCACGTGTCTGCCCTCTAGCCTAGAGTTGGGCCAAAGTGTCTGCGCCCAGGCCCATTCAGACAGTGGCCTGGGACCGGATTGGTTAGGCATCCCCAACCACCCAGGCAGAAACGTGTGGTGCTCCCTGCTTTCCCCAGGTTGCTGGAAGAACCTGGAAGGCGGCTGGACCACGTGTGTGCCCTCTAGCCTAGAGTTGGGCCAAAGTGTCTGCGCCCAGGCTCATTCAGACAGTGGCCTGGGACCGAATTGGTTAGGCATGCCCAACCACCCAGGCACAAACATGCGGTGCTCCCTGCTTTCCCCACGGTGCTGGAAGAACCTGGAAGGCTCACAAACATTTCAGATTTTCATGAGCAAGGCGGATGTAATCAACTGGCGCGTGGCAACTGTCTGGCGCCCACCAAGGCTTTACAAATTTGACAAATTCAGGCCTCGTTGAGATTCGGGGGCCCGCCTTCACTTAGGGCGGGCACATACTTGCTGTAGGGGGCCCCTCGCGGGCATGCCGAGGACCAAAATCCTTGCAACAGCAGCAGAAGACTGAAAATGAAGAGTTTGACTCGCCATAGTCAAGACTCATCACTCACATACATCATCCAGAGGTGAGATGCAAGGAGGGGGAACATACACAGATCCCTTCTTGCGCACCACACACATGGGGGGAAGATCCACAGGTGATGGAGGTTGGAGATGGAGACAGTGTGGGAGAAGCCAGAAGAAGAGAATGACAAATGAAGCGTAAAAGCCAAAGAATAATACTGTCTATTCCATTACCACAATCGTTATGAAATACAATGTGGAGTCCGAGCCCGGGGGCATAGCCTCGATAAGATAGCTTCAAGTTTATCGTCCCTCTCTCTCTCTAGAAGTAGGACAAAAGGGGCAGATATGGAGAGAGGGAGGAATGTAGAACAGAAGAGTCTTTTACGAATTTCCAAAATCTTAAACACTTCCACTCATCATCTCACTTAAACCACCAGTACTTCCTAAAGTCGCCAAACTCATCCGACTAGAAATGGTTCTACTCTATTTTTTCCTATGGCCGATGTATGTGCAAGGAAAATGAGCAATAGCGAGATGACAATGTCCAGCATGCACAAATTCAGCACAATCACATTGAAGGCCAGATAGTATCACAGTGTCCGGAAAGCAGAAATGCACCAATATGAAGAATTGTAACACTGAAAACCAATGTCAATGAGCGCTTGCTCTCGCCATCACCAACACGAGTGTCCAGGCCCTATCTCCCTGCTTGGCGCTCGGCGCCCAGCCTTCTTCCTACACTGCTACAGTCTACCTACTAATTACAATGCAACTGTTGACATCAGCAGCCCACGAAGTACTTGAAGATGTCGCCCATAGCAGACCATCGCCAATACCAGGTATGTGCCCTCACATCATCATCATCATCATCCTTCTCTCTCTCCCTGTCCTTACTCCCACGTCTTCCCTCTGTACACCCGAAGACCACCCCTGCACCTCACTGTAGTCCAAGCCCAACCAGCTATGGAGACTGGGCTATGGCGCTGCTGCTCCCTGCTCGACCGCACGCGCTAGCACCTTGCCTATCAGCGCCAGCAGCAGCCCACGAGCGTTCGCTCCAACAGCACTGCCGCTAGCATGCGAGTGCCTGAATGAGGCTGCCTGTGGCGAGATCTTTCCTATATGAAAAGAGCCTCCTGCCTTTGCAGCCTGGCTGGACTGGCCTGGGCCCAGAAGCATGTTGCGCTTGTGTTGCAGCTACTGGGCCTCTTTCGGTTGGGCCTCACAACTGTCAGTGTATGAGGCCGCGATTCTCCCCCAGGGCCTGCATTCTTGGAAAGGCCCAGAAGGTCGTGGAATGTCTTTGTTGCTCGGCCTGTATTTCCCTTAACCGACTGGCGCATTGCAACTGTCTGGACCCCCAAATACGAAATTGACAGTCGAGGGCCTCTCATGCTTTGTTAGGCCCGCCTTCACTCAGGGCGGGCACGTATGCAACAGGGGGCCCTTAGGCCTGCCGGGGACCCAGATCCTCGCATTCCCTCCTGTACTTCCTAGTCCTCTGAGAAGTCTTCTATTCTGCAGGCATCTTCCCTTTGAGATCTCTTTTGTAGCCTGCACTGACTTGAGGTGCAGTTCTCATCAGTTCTTCTCTGGTGAACCACCGATCTTGGCTGGGATCCAGATGATGTCTGAATCTGACCCGGTATTGCATTTTTGGCTTAGGAGGGCGGCCTCTGCCCGGTGTTCGAGGAACAGGCATCACACGATGCTCCACGAAAGGTGCCAGCTTTGAGGCATGGAAAACAGGATGTGTGCGTAGGTGTGGTGGGATGCGAATCGCATAGGAGGGTTCATCTACCTGATCTCCCACTATGTCTAGGACCTCCCATGGACCTGAGTCCTGTGTCATTAGTTTTCTAGAGATTCCAACTTCCTGTCCCAGTTCAGATGAGTTGACCCAGACTCAGTCTCCTATCTGAAAATTAGAAGGTCGTCTGTGTTTGTTCTCAGATGCAATCATAGCATCTTGAGACTTTCTAATCTGTTCAACGGCCTGTTGCAGCATCTGTTCGTATCTGACAGCAAACCCTATGCTGCCTGGTGCTGCAGTTACGTGATTTTCAGGTAGTAGGAAATCAAGGGCGAATCTGGGCTTCCAACCAAGATGCAGTTGGTTGGGAGTCTTGTCGGTAGAGCTGTGCACAGCGTTGTTGTACAGGCTGGCGACGAGTGGTAGCTTCTTGTCCCAGTCATCCTGGCTTGGGTTAATGTAATGCTGAAGCAAGTGCTGTACTAGGTTCATTTGCTCCACCTGTCCATTTGACTCAAGGTGGTTCCCTGATGTCATCTGTAGTCTGGTTCCCATCTGCTGGGCTGTGTTTTGCCACAGTTCGCTGGTGAAACGAACATCCCTATCACTGACTATAGACTTTGGTAAGTTGAAGTCCCGTACCCGGTTTTCCATAAATAGTCTGATGACGTAGTCAGTCTTAGCAGTTTCTGGCATAGCAATTAGTCTGGCATACTTGGAAAAACGGTCTACTATAACGAAGATGTGCCTTTTCCCGGACCTGCTGGTCACAAGAGTATCCATGAAGTCCATGGACACACTCTGACCAGGACCTTTAGGAATCGGCAAGGGCTTGATGAGCCCGAGCGGTGCCTGAGTCCTAGGTTTGTCCCGTTGGCAAACCTGGCAGGTTTCAACGTACCTCTTTGCATCTTGCATCATAGTTGGCCACCCGAATCTTTGTACTAGGTTAGTTGATGTCTTCCTATAGCCAAAATGACCAGTTGCATCATGACACTCACCTAGAAATAAACTACGCAAAGACTCACTTGGGAACACAGTCTTTTATTCCCTGCCTTCTCAAGAAACAGCAAGCCGTCAACCATCGTAAATTCATCTGAAGTCACTTTGTCCTTCTTTTGAACTTTACGAATGATCTCGGACATAACTGGATCTTGTTGATAGGCT